GCTAGCTCAAGCCTACTCACAAGCTAGTTTGTGAGCTAAACAAAACAAGTACTTCAATCCCACGAGCAGCCCTACCAGTGAAGTTGAAACTATTTTGATGAACTATTTGGCAAAACACCTGATAGATAAAATTGATAAGATGACCATAATATCCTCATTTTCTTTATTTTCACTCCTCTCTGTTTCTTGGCCTTTTCTTCCTTATCTGTTTGGTCCCCTGCCTTGCCCCAGGCTCCATCTCACCCCTCACCCCCGCCCTTGACCTTGTGTCCCATACCTGCCCATGCGCTTGGAGTCCCGATGAGACTGCGCCCTATGCCCCTAGTGGCTCTATATGACCGACCGCCCCAGCAGTCCGCACCCACCCCACCATGCGAGGGTGCGCCACGATGAGTCTGCCTTACCCTCGGTGACATTGCTCCTCGCTTTGGCAGCCTGGCCTAATGTCCCCTCTCCGTGCCAGGCCTGGGGAAGCTGGATGAAGCGGATATTTCAGTTTCACTAACAGTTCCTTACCTGTGAGAGCGTGATTTGTGAAGTTTCACGCCAAAGCTAGTGCCAAAAAGACCTGTTTGGTAGTTGAAGGTGGAAATCAACTTCAAAAGCTGCTTCACAATTCATTCGAAACATGCCTTTAATATTGACAGCTAAAAGCTAGTTACCCCACCATTCACAGCAAGTTACACCGTGTTTAGTTGAGTGAAAGTTGAAATTTAGGGTATTATAGCACTTTCGTTTTTATTTGGCAATTAGTGTTCAATCATAGACTAATTAGGCTCAAAACGTTCGTCTCGCAATTTCCAACTAAACTGTGCAATTAGTTTTTTTTCGTCTACATTTAATGCTCCATGCATATATCGCAAGATTCGATGTGATAGGTATTGTACCATTTTTTAGGATTTTGGGTTGGGAACTAAACACGGGCTTATACTCAATTCATCGACCTAGCCCGTGTTTAGTTCCAAAAACTTTTCTAAAAAGTGCTTTCAGATCTATCACATCGAATTTTACGATACAAGCACGGAGCATTAAATGTAGAAAAAAAAACTAATTGCACAGTTTAGTTGGAAATTGCGAGACGAACGTTTTGAACCTAATTAATCCATAATTGAACACTAATTGTCAAATAAAAACGAAAGTGATACAGTAGCCAAAAATCCAAACTTCGCGCAACTAAACACGGCCCTACTATCATAAATATCGGTCCATCATCAAGTAGGGATGGCCATTTTAACCGTGCGGGTGTGGGTGCGGGTACCGGCGGGTTTCGTACTCGATAGGTGCGGGTATAGCTAGAAAAATTTTATCAGCGGGTATACGAGGGTCAGGCACCAGCAGCTGTGCGGGTACAAAACTTTACCGGGCATTTAAAATACATATACGTGCATATCTATTGTATAGCATGCCAACTAGTCCATTTAATTTGGTCTAGCCATTTTTTTTCTGTAGTTAGTATGATATATTCAGTCCGCCATCATTGATCTATTAGCTTGAAGTATGATCACCGATCTATGAGGATGTTATTTTTCATGAATAGTTGAATAAGTGATTGTGTAAGGCGTTAGTTGTCACTTTAATTCTTGCGTTGTATTATTTGTATGAGTATGACACTGAATTATGAACCTGTACTGTATGGTCAGGCAACAGGTGCAAGCTGGCGCAAGACATATGTGTTGTTTACTTTCTAGTACAGTAGCCTAAGAATTTTTCGGACACTAGGGAGAGCATGAGTTTTACTCTAATTTGTTGAGCCCCCAAAGAGCACTGCCACAACATTTGTAATTCAAAACTTCTTCCTACTTAATACAAAGGCAGCATAAAGTTTTTTGCGTGTTCGAGAAAAACATGTACTGTATGGTCACTTGTGAGCTAATGTATATTGTTCCAGTGAGCTCTATGTAAGTGAGATTAACGGATTTATTTGTTATTTAACTACAATTTATTATTATTCTATCACTTTAATTTTATTATTTGATTTCTTATGAAAATAACCGACTGGTATCCGATACCCAATGAGGTACCCAGCCGGCGCAGGCACAGATAAAGGGGGGAATTCCCTGTGTGCCATTAAAAAAGATCGCAATGCCATGTGTGCCCCTGAAAAAGTTCAGCGGTCTTCAACGCCACTGCTCTAACTTTTTCGTGCCCTCCATGCCACTTCCGTCATTTTGAGCTCTAACGTCGTTAAACTGCAGGTGTGAAAAGACGAAAATGCCCTTAAGTGTAAATATGTCATTAATATTTTTTGAGCATCTTAACGACTTCAAATGAAAAAACTCAAAACTAGAAAGTTGTAGATCTCGTCGAGATCTATAATTTTCATATAAAAATTATTTTTATTTAATTTCGCAAAAAAAAATAATATGATTTTTCTAAGATATATTAATCATATCAAATAATATTTTTTTGGCGGAATTAAATAAAAATAATTTTTATATGAAAATTATAGATCTCGGCGAGATCTACAACTTTCTAGTTTTGAGTTTTTTCATTTGAAGTCGTTAAGATGCAAATAAAATAATGACATATTTACACATAAGGGCATTTTCATTTACACTAAAGTATTGACTACAAAGTAGGAGCCAAAACCAATGACGGAAGTGGCATGGAAAAATACGAAAAAGTTGAAGCGATGGACGTCAAGACGGCTGAACTTTTTTAGGAACACACAGGCATTACGATCTTTTTAATAACGTAGTGAAAATGCCTTGAATAAAGTGGGGATCTCGGGTATGCTTGCGGCGGGTAAAGTGGGGGGTCTCGGATGGATAAATGTTTTGCGCGTGCCTTATCCGACCCACTGCCATTCGTACGTCCAAGGAGGTTTCTATCATTTTTTTCCAAACGCAGAGAGCATTTGGTATTGGTTATAGGTGGTGGTGGGGGTCTCTCAAACGGATACCCGGCCCCGTGTCGCCCCTACGCTTGCGACACGGGAGGCGAAACCCAAACCTAGTGCCTCTCTTCCTTCCTCCTCTCTCTAGCCGCGCATTGTCGCCGGGCGCGGCCAGCGTGCATGCATTGGTGTGCGGCTTCTTGGGGGCGGCGGCGAGGCTCTTCTTTGCGGTGGGAGCTGCGATGGTGAGGACGAGCTCGCGTGTGGCTTCTGGGGCTCGGTGAGTGAGGTCGGCCGAGGCTGGGGGCGGCTTGGCATTGTCGTCGGCGGCGGTCTCCTCGTCGGCGACCAAATCCAGCGGTCCAGGAGCGGGATCCGCGTGGATCTCCGTATTGGCGGCGCTGGTGGGCGGGCGTCGGCGTCGGTGGCGGCTCTGTCCATGGCGCCAGCCTTCGCGCCGGATCCGTGGGGTTCGGGAGCTGCGCCTAAAGCGCTTGTGATGGCGGCTGCGTCGGCTGGGGCGACCTCTTCCTCTTCCTCACGCTTTCAGCGGTGTTGGCGGCATGCATCATGGCGAAGCGTGGGCGTGCCCTCGCCACGAGCCTCGTGGGGCTCGATGGGGCAACTTTCTGCGGCGGCTGGCGGTGCCGTCTGCGCGGCAGCGCGGCGGTGGCGGGGACTCCTTTTTCCTCCTCCACTTCCCCCTTTCCTCCTCGACCTTGGTGTGGGCGGCGCCTATTGGGGACACTGGATCTCGCTCCACGGCCACATCCGGTGCCCTCGGGGAAGAAGCGGCGCCGTGGTGGGGCATGCGCTGACGGTGGTTAAGGAGGTCGGCGGCGTCGGCAATGGTGCTGCTTGTGCCGACAACGGTAGCGGCGAACCGGCGTCTTGGCGGTAAGTCGATTACGCATGTTGCCCGGTAGGAGGGGGTGGCGGCCGGCGGCGATGCCCCGTCGATGCCCTTCGGAGGCGCGGATGGCGATGGCGGCGACGGTGGCGGCGAAGCTACGGTCTAGCATCTTGGCTCGGCGTATGTGCTAGGGGCACCTCGGCGAAAAGCCTTGGCGGCGGCGGCGCTGTGGGCGCCGTTTTTCCTTGTTAGCGGCGTCGTGTTCTTGTGCCCCAACCATATCTTCCACGGTGAAAACCCGATCCTTTCTGGACAAGCGGCGGCGGCGCATTGGCGTCGTACCCCCGCTTCTAAAAGGCGTCACTGTGGAAATTGTCTCGGTCGTGATGTCTCCTTGGCGGATGTCCTCCGCCTCTCGGCGCCCGATTGATGCAAGGCGGCGAGTTACGCATCGCGAAGTCGGAGCTGCGCATCGAGGGATGTAGCTCGCAACGATGACGCGTGTCGAACCCTCCTTCTCCGGCGGTGGGTTTTCGGCTTTAGAGGCTCGGCAATTGCCGCGGGCGAAGCGTGGATCATGGCGCAGAAGTCGAGCTGCTCTTGGCGGGGCCGTTGAACTCGGCAACGATGACCTGCTGCGACCCTCTTCGCTTGGGCCCGTTGGTTCCATTTTTTGATGGGTTGTCGGTGTTTTTGCCATGGGATGTCGAAGGCTGCTAGCTGCTTTGCAACTATGCTCGCAACGATGTCTCATGGTAGTGTGTACTACAGTCAGTATTCACGTGGGTGGGTAACCTTTAAGTGGTGTTTGGCGCCACGCTTGGCTTCCTTTACTTGTATATAAACTTCATTCGTCTTAATTGAAAGACGAGCTCACGGCATTGTTAAAAAAAAGGTGGTCGGGGAGAATGAAATGCGGTTATGTGTTACGTTGGATATTGAATGTTCGAGATCCGAAACGAGTTCAAATTCAAAAGGAGGACGTGTAGATTGCAAAACCTTTGCGCATACAACATCAACGGATTTCAGCTTCTCCGCCGTCTATTCCGATGGAAAACCAATCCACCAAAAGGTAATGCAACAAAATCACGGCGATTTGGACCAAATACCTCGTACTCCCTCCGTCCCGTTGAGTTTGTCGCTCGGGAACCGAGATTGTGAGAGGGGCACGGTTTTCAAACAATAAACTCAATGGGACAGAGGGAGTAGATACAAAGATAAATTTCTTTGTTCTACTGCCATGGGACAAAATCAAGAATGGATTCGTCGGAGTACACTCTAAGCTAGAAAGAATTCCGTGCCCATTCTTCGCTATCTGGGCCCGGAGAGCTGAGATGACGACAGGTACGACGGCCACCCGCTCATCGTCGTTGACGTCGTCGTCCCTGACCGGCCCATGGGGGACGCCATATGCTTCAGATACATGTCGCTGCCTCCGCCGTCCTCTGGCCCAGAAAACCCCCGGCCGTACAGCCTGAGGAACCCGAGCGACTGCACCCGCGGCTCCCACAGCGCCATGCTGCCCTCCAGCATGCCGACCACGACCGCCATGCTCGGCCGCAGGTGTGGGTCCTCGTGGAGGCAGCACAGCGCCACCTTCACCACCCTCTCCACTTCCTCGGCAACCACCCGCCCCTGTAGCCGAGGGTCGGCCAGCTCCGCGTAGTGCCCGGCCTCGTGCCCCTCCAGGGCAGCGAGCGGGAAGTAGTCGCTCTTGGCGCCGCGCGACGAGCTGCCCGTTGTCCCGTTCGAGGAATTGGAGCCCTCGCCGCCGCCGTCGCTTACGTGCTCGCTGCGGTTTTTGCGACCGCGCACCAGCTCCAGGAGCACCATTCCGAAGCTGTACACGTCGGTGCGGTCGGTGATGGCGGTGTTGCTGAGCCACTCCGGCGCGAGGTACCCGCGCGTGCCCCTCATCGTCGTGAAGAGGCCGGACTGCTCCGGCGTGAGGAATTTCGCGAGCCCGAAGTCGGCAATCTTCACCTGGCCGCCGTCCGCGAGCAGGATGTTCTCCGGCTTGACGTCGCAGTGGATGATCCTCTGGTCGCAGCCGAAGTGGAGGTACGCCAGGCCCCTCGCCGCCCCGACGGCGACGTCCATCCGCTCCTTCCATTCCAGCAGAGGGCCGGTGGGCCGGAACAGCGACCGGTCGAGGGAGCCGCGGTTCATGTACTCATACACGAGGAGGCGGCGCTGGCCCTGGGTGCAAAAGCCGCGGAGGCGGACGAGGTTGATGTGGTGGATGTTGCCAATGACGGCGATCTCGGTGCAGAACTCGCGCTTGCCCTGCATCCCGACGCCTCGATCCTCTTCACGGCCACCTCCGAGCCGTCCGGGAGCTCGCCTTTGTACACGGCGCCGAACCCGCCGGCGCCGATCTTGATGCGGAAGCTGTTGGTCATGTCCTCGATCTCGTCGTGCGTGAACCTGGTGGGGAGGCCAGGGATCACGATGTCGTCGTCGTCATCGTCAATATCCCGCACCAGGTGCGCTGGAGTCCGACGGCGAGCGCTGCCGCCGGGCTGCTGATCTCTGGAGCGCGACGAGCGCCCCACTTCCTTACGCCACGCCCTGATCACGGTAGCGCTGACGACGACGATGAGCACAAACGCGACCATTGTTGGGAGGAGGATGGCAATGAGGGTGCTTTTGAGGACGAATTGCTCGATGGTCTCGATAGCTGCGAGCTCTGGACCTTGATGTAGCCGAGCTTGTCGGAGGCTTTAGTGGAGTCGGCATTCATGAAGGAACCGAGCTGGTGCTGCACCAAGTAGCAGGACAACGCCGAGTTGTCGTAGAAGTAACCGAGGCATGAGCAGTTGCTGGTACACAGAGTCTGGCATGAGGAAACGTTGTCGCCGGACACGGTCGGCGGTGCCAGCTTGTTAGCGAAGTACTCGACGCCATTGCCAAGGCTGAAGTACGAGACCGGCAAGCTGTTATTGCCACCGCCAACAGTGCTGCCGCATGAGGAGACGGACAGCGGGGCGGAGCCGTCAGACGGCGTGCAACCACCGTCGCGCGACGCCGCGAACAAGGCGGGCACGTGCACCCCTTGGGCGTGCAGAGCCCCAGCGCGCCACAGGATAGGGGCAGAGCGCATCCATCGCTCGGCGCCACGAACCCGCCGTCCATCGGCGAGTTAGATGAGTTCGCCGACGCGAAGCTTTCTATTTGCAGCTTCCCATCATATCCCAGCCTAACAACTCGCAGCTCGGCTGCAGGCAACGAGAGACCTGGATGACGACCCGCCGTCCGCCGCGAGCAGGTACATCCCAGTGCCGTTCACGGCCATGTACGCAACGGTGCCGCTTCGGTCCACGGTGGAGCGGGCGTCGTTCGAGAGCCGCCAGTACATGGAGCCCATCCACGTGAGCAGCACATCGGCCGCCGTCACGTTGAGCCGGTAGTCCCCCTCGGAGAAGTCGGAGTCCGAGGCGGCGGACGCCAGGAAAGCCCCCGCGGGAAACCGCTGCGACGACACGATCGAGTCGGTGGGGCGGTCGAAGGACTGCCACAGCGTGGCGTTCCTCGCGTCGAGCAGCGCGAGGTTGCCGTGGTCGTCGAGCCGGAGAGCAGCCACGGGAGTCTCGAACGGCGGCGTGGACCAAATGGTGGTGCCGTTGGGGTCCTCGATGGAGATGCCGTTGGCCGTGAGCTGCAGCGGAGCGGCGCGGTCGGTGATGGGCGCGGCGCGGTTGGCGACCCAGACGCAGGTCTTGGACGGCGCGTGGAGCACGGCGAGGTAGAACCGCTCCAGCTGGCCCCCCGGGTTGTAGACCACGGCGTGGAACGCGCCGCTCGGTGACGTGAGGAACGCGCCGTAGCTGTCTTGGAAGAGCAGGTACGACGCCGTGAAGTCCGGGGTGAGGAGCTCCGTGGCGACCCTGCCGCCGCGCGCCCGGTTTAAGGCGACGCCGAGGAGGAGCAAGACGGCGAGGTGGAGACGCGTCGGCGGCATCGGTGCGCCCGTGGATCGGCGCGCTCATGGCATTGGCTTGGGGACGGGGAGACGTGATGCGTGGGGCGTGGCGGAGGCATGGCGGACCGGGGTAGGTTGTGTTCGGGGCTCGGGAGTTGACTCGAGCGCCATTGGCCGCGCTGGGATCTGGGGGCGCTGCTGGTGCTGGACGGCACAAAAAAATAATGCAACGCGACGACGACTTGCGGCTGGTGCTGGCGTGCCGCGTCGTCGGCGTGCAGGTACACCGTGCATCTGCCGCCGTCTGTTTCGTCTCCGCTGAATAAAATTTGGGCGGGGTGACGGTGCCGCCGGCAACAGGTGAGTTTGAATGTCGTGCGCTAATCGGTGGCAGCGTGTGCAGATAGATTTTTTTATGGTGTTTAAGTTTGGTGTCTTACCAGGAGCCAGCAGCACAGCAATGGAAAGTAGTCTGATTAGCGGCTGATAAAGAAACAGAGCTGAACTCGTCAGGATTCAGTTCAGGATCGGAAACACTGATCATTCGAAGTTGCCTTTTGAGAGAAGGAAACAGCACAAGATTGAGTTCGTATATTCTGAATCTGACCCTTTTGTGCACTACTGCCATTCAGTAAACCATATGATGCTTGTACTTGAAACTTAGCAAAGAAATCGACTGTCTAATGATTGTCCACTGGAAACGAGGCAAATTAGACACCAGCCGTGTTTGATTTACTCCAGCGTCATCGTATCACTTGTTCTGCTGACAGTTGCAGCACCTTTGATTATGAAACATTCGGCCTGTTCGTTGGTGGGTTTCTGGGCTGATAAGCTCGGCTGATGCTGGTTTGTTGTGAGAGGAAAACACTGTTGGCTGGCTGATAAGCCCTGACTGAAACCAACAACCGAACAAGCTGATTATCTGAAGACGTGTGCTGGCCGACTCCACTAAAGCTGATTATCTTTGGGTTAGTGCGTTGTGCTGCTCCACGCGTTTACAGCCTTGCGACGCAGGCGGAACGGCAAATACTTCCGCAGAGCGCTTGCGCGGAGGGAGCCATGTCATCCATGATGCATTCCTGATTCACAGATTCAGTGATTCTTGCTGCCTCTCCTCTCGCCCCAGCCAACCGCCCACGGCCATTTGTTTATGGGGCAACGCCCGATTCCGCGCGCCCACCCCTCCCAGATCTCGCGGAGACGACGACGCGGGAGCTCACATGCCACATGACATCACGCGCCCCAGGGCAGTTCGCAATTGGCCTACTACGTGCAATGCAAGTGGGCGTAAAACTAAACCTGAACTCACTGATTGCTCTGCCTGTTCTTGGTTGATTGCCGGTAAGAAATGGACTGCCTGGCTCGTTCCAAGAGCTTCTCATGTCAGTTCTCTCGAGCCTCAGCTCACTGCTGACGCTGACAGCATTTGTTTGTGGCTTAAGCCCAGAGGTGTTGGGCACTGTCTAGCTCCCTCGTCGGGGACACGGCACGGCGATGCCATTTTGCATCTGAGACTTGTTTTCATTATCCCCTGGCAAACCTGCAATTGTATTTTACAAGCATCTCGATGCATTGTAATTTATACCAACATGCTGTGAGACAATCGGCTTGCTAGATGAGCTGAGCTGCTCATTCCGTCTCCGCGAGGTTAGATGCATGCATCACGCACGAGCTGCAGATGCTGGTGCTGGCACCGGAGCGAGCTGGGCGGTAGCGTGTGCTGGGAGCAGCAACAGCCGGCTTTCGTGCAGCTCGGGCAGGTTCAGTGACTCAAGTTGGTGGAAGCCATAACCGTCATAATGACTGCTTACCCCTACCCTTATTATACAAGTAGCACAAAACATAATCTAGCTTCTGATTTGACCTTCCCGATCACCAGAGGCTTTACGCTAGCAAGAAAGTCAACTACAACAGAATGTCAGCAAAGCCTAAATCAGAAGTTGCAAAAGGAGGAGTGTTCAGACTTCAGATGCCTGCACGGTTGCACAGGATGAAAAGAAAACATCAAAGCATATCACAAGTTCTCGACCCTGAACCTTAAATATAGTCATCACACAACTTCTAAATCCAGAGACCATGAGGCAATGGCCCTGTAATCCAGTGTATGCCTTATGTGAACAGGAGCTGGAGACGGCAGCCCATCTATGGCCCATTTGATAGGGCTCCTTTTCAAACTCCTTCAGAGGAGCCCTACCAAACGGTTTAACTAGGCGAAGACGTATAGAGATGTTTTTCCGTAAAAAAAAAGAGAAACAAGAGCCGTTTTGAAGAAGTCAGGCTTCGACTTCTTCGAAGGAGCCCTCCCAAATTAGGCTTTGCCTCCACCCTGCAGGCCTCCACTGTTATTCACCAAAGAAATGTGAAAACACATGAGACGAACACACTGGAAACACACACGAGGCCGGATAAGAAGCCAGCTCTTGTTACCGCTCGTTAGGATAACGAGCAAACTCAGTTCGGCTTCTTTTAATGAAATGAGCTACAACTTAAGCTCGGCTCGGCTCATTAATCTTGCGAGCCAGCTCATCAACAAATGTAAACAATATTAGCATAATCAATAGCTTTAGTTACAATATTTGGAAGGAAAGAAACGGACACCCATCGTTGGTAGATTAGATGGTTAACAATATGAATGTGGGCAGATTAGATGGTTAATTAGATGCAAGTAACATGATGAATTTGGGCAATCGATCCGTGCAGCTCGCTGTCGATCTGAGCCCCTCGTCGTTGATCCAAGCCGTGGCTGTGGGCTGTCCCTGTCCGTGCAATAACGCGCGTGGCGACGCGAAGGCAAGGCCTGTCTGTCAGCACACGGAGCTGCTCGGTGGCTGACAAAGAAGCAAAATGACAGCAACAGCACAGTTCCAGCAATGGCAAAAAGGAACATCAAACGACAGCAATGGCAAAAGAGAACATCAAACGAGGTGCACGCTTTAATAAACACCGTAATGTGAAATGTGACTAAGTATTCCTCGGTACAGGAGGTAAACAAAACCTGCGCTCTAACAGCATTGCTGTCCTACAAATTATTATGCATCAAGCATAAACTTATCCCGGGGCAAAAAAGATCTATTTCACCTGTTTAATGAGTTCCTCTCATCAAAAGGATGACAGACAAATTTTCCGTTAAGAAAAAAAAAAGATTCGGGAACTAAGCTCTCGAGTGACTGATAACAATTCCATCCTCCACCAAATATGATCTTAGGGAATACAGAAAAATCAGGCAATGGCTTTTGATTCAGCCTCTGCTGCTGGGGCAGGTGTAACACCTCCCGTTGTTGGGCTGAAACAGAAACAAAACAAAGCATTAATTCGGAATCTCCCGAAAGAATTTGGACGTTGCAGTGATTATTCCTAAAGCAGTAGAGATACTCACAGTCCAACCATCACTTTGAAAGCATCGTAAATTCCCCACTGAGCACCAGTAAGGGTACCAATCATGACGATACGAAGAGGAAGTCCTCTTGTGAAAAGACCCCAGAGACCAAGCTTCTTAACAGCCTGCAAGAATACAACAATATATAACCAATAGCTAGTAAGTACAAGAAGACGATATATGTTTTGATGCAAAAGCTAGAATATATGCTTACATCGCCCACTGTAGCACCCTTGGCATTGTTCAGGAAAGACACGAGGTTGTCAGCCGGGTGAGACACAATAGCACAGAAGACACCAGCAATGTAACCGCCAGCAAAGCTAATACCCAACTGGGTAGTCTTGCTGCACTCGGACTTCGGAACAGGCACAGCATGCTTGTAGATAAGCTCAACGATGGTCTCAAAGGAAGCAAACTTCATCATGGTATCTGCATACATCATACAAAGTGCAGCGGGTGAGTACAGCTGATTGTAGCAAAGTTTATTTTCCTGGTTACACAAAATAGAGACACAGTATGACTAAAGCTGCTACTATGGGCAGTCAGGTGGGGCAATGACATTACTGCTATCGATAAAATGGCATGGTACATAAAAAAAATGTACACAGGACTACTTATAAAAACAAGCCTTGACTGAAAATTGGCGAATGGCAATTCTGGATCCAGAAAACGGTATCTAGGAAGCACCTGACTTCAAGGTGGAAAACCTCTACTAGAGAACTACAACGTGGACAGCATTTTTCGTAAGACTTCAAATTTTCAATCAAAATGGAAATTTCAACCATAGTTGCTAGCGATTTCAGCTGAAACTCAGATACAAAACTTAAATAGTACGAAATCTAACCATCCTAGAGCCACATGCTGCATAGCCATTTCGTGCAACAGATTAATACATTTTCGTTCTGACACAGATTAAAAAAAAAAGGTACTTTTTCACAAATCATGTGTCAATGTCCTAGATTTTGTGAGAAAGGTGAACTGAACTACAATTGTTACGGGCAACTATAAAACGAACGTTTGGGATAAACCCTATAAAGTGGATCAATAAAAATATAAGAGTCAATGGCCATCCAGAATACAGAATGGATGAGAATTATCATAAAGCTGAAATGCATGATATCTAGGAAAGCATACAAAAAAAAAGTTTGGGTTCACAAGAAGTCAAGACATCAAGTGAGTTGTGCCACACAAACAAGATTAGTGTTTGAGCATTCAGTTTCAAATGTTCAATGGTTTTGCAACAGTCATTTAATGCACACGATTAAAAACAAAAAGAAAGCTGTACTAAATAAAGATGATAAGAAATATCTACTTACAAGGAATCTGACGACCCCAGAGAGGAACAATTCCCTTGTAGAGCCTAAAATCATTAAGCAGCAAGAACTGTTAGGACAGATGGACGGAAACCAAGTCTCACAACGATAATTTTTTAGTCAGCCAATTTGCTTACCCAAGAGCACCCTCAGATCGGACAAATTTGGGGAGCCCATCACTCAACCCACGAGCAAATCCAGGTTGTGTCTGCACACGTACCTTCACAGCTTCAAAAGGGCAGAGAGCCACATCAGCAATTACCTCAGCAGATGCGGATCCTGCAAGGTAGATTAGAGTCTTGTACTTATGGGCATACTCAGGCCCTGCAATGTCCGAGTAATACTTCTTAAAGAACTCATAGAAGCCAAACTTGCAAGCCCCCTGAGCGCTGTAACCAAGCAAGGTAGGCACCCATCCCTGAAGAAGCCCCTAGCCCCTTGCTCCTTTAACAGGACACCAAATCCAGATGAGATACTCTTGTATTTAAGCTGGATCGATCTGAAAAAAATAATAAACGTTTTATGTACAAAATCCCTAATTTAAACATGGAATTAACTGCTTACACAACGAATCAGGCAGCTAGTATATATATATACTTCCACCATTTCAAATAGAAGTCATTTTAGCTTTGTCATAAGTTAAACTTGTTTAACAAGTTTATTGAAAAATACATTAACATCTACAATATCAAGTAAAATGCACTATCAAGATATGTTAGTTTGACATTATAGATGTTTGTGTATTTATCAATAAACTTGATAAAAGTTGAAGTAGTTTTACCTAGGACATAGCTAAAACAACTTATAATTGGGATCAGAGGGAGTGCTTTTTAAAACCTAACTATCTAAAATTATCCATTACACTACATAAAATATAAGAGAAACAACAAGAATGTGACCCAAAGGAAAGAATGCAACACAAAGGAGGGAATGGAGACTAGGGGCGGTTGATTGCGACACAAAGGAGGGAATGGAGACTGAGGGCGGTTGGCAAAGCTAGGAAGGCATAGATTCGAGTGGATATCAAGGCCACAAACTAAAGCAAAGGTTAAAAGTAGCAATTAAATTGGCCTCAAATTCAAATGAAAAGTGTTATTTGCATTGCTCCCCCTGCTAAAACATGATAGCATAACATACATGCATAAGTGCATAAGTGGCAAATGGTCACAACTTTAATCTCCAAAACACATCAACCTATCAGAGCAAATGTGCCAATTGTCAAAATCAATTAATGGTTTTCATTTAGTACCAAGCCTGATAGAGCACCCAACCACCAACACAAACGATTGTCAGAGAATTACACACTCATCAGTTTTGTTTGAATCATAAACAAATTGTTCAGTGGGTAAACAGGCAGAATTTTATAATGACACATGCCAATGGATGTGCCCACTACAATCACAATTTGTTCGAGAACTAGCACCTCCTAGCCATCAAGTCAAGTACTGAGCAAATAAAGCATGATAGAACACTCAGCCACCAACACAAACAATAGTCAGAGAATTACACATTCATCAGTTTTATTTGAATCATAAACAAATTGTTTCAGTGGGGAAACGGGCAGAATTTTATATTGACAGATGCCGATGGATGTTCCCACAACAATCACAATTTGTTTGAGAACTAGCACCTCCTAGCCATCAATTCCAATACTGAGCAAATAAAGTGCACCTCATGTGGTACCAACAATGAGCACGTCAAGGAAAAAAAATGTTAACAACAGTGAATCACAATTCACAGCTAATCACAGTGATCAAATTCACAGGTCTAGCCATGCATTCACAAACCTACTTGAAGCATTCAGAAGGGGCCCTGCAGTAATAGCGATCCACACAAAAGCTACTCAGCTAGCAAGCGGTACTACATACCAAACTACTAAATTTGAAAAAGGCATCAAGCACACGTTTGAACAAACGAATATCACAACTGGAAAGGAAAACGAACTACCGATGCTCACAGGAAGTAGAACTACACGCATAGTGACGCAGGATGTGGGAAGTAGAACTACACGCATAGTGACGCAGGATGTGGCTAGATTTATGGCATCCAGATCACTAAGACGAAATCGAGATCGCAAGCCCACGACTACCAAGCTCCACTCCCAACCAACCAAACACCACCAGATCCGCGCGAGGTTTCACCAAAATGGATCCCGTGGAGCACCGGGGCGACAGATCTAGGCTGCCACCCGCTCACCTGCATGTTGCACTTGACGAGGTCGAGCGGCGTGACGGCCGTGTGGGTGAGCCCGCAGCTGGCGATTCCTCCGGCGGTGCAGGCGGCGTAGAAGGCCGGCGAGTACATCTCGATCTTCTCGTTGGGCGCCTGGATCGAGAACGGCACGCGGCCTCCTGCTCCAGCCGCGGCAGGCGCCGGGGAGGAGACAGGGAGGCGCGCGGCGGCGCCTGTGGCGGCGAAGGAGCGCGCCGAGGAGGAGTAGAGGAAGCTCGGGAGGAGCGACTCGCGGGAGCGGTCGGAGAGCGCCATCGCCGCCAAGAGATTCGGAAGATTCGTCTCTCTCGTGGGGCTTTTGGGTGCTGGTGCTTTCTGAACGCTCTCGCGGTCGCGTGAGTTTGAGGCGGAGGCGGAGCGGAGGCGGAGGCGGGGGGTTCCAACTTGCTAGCCTGCTAGGGCATCGATCTCTCCGGAGGATGCGGCGGAACGTGGTTCGCTGACGCTGAGTGTGGGTCCCGCGATCTCGCGGGGCCCGGCCTACGGTTGGTCGCACTTCATTTATGCTAAATAAAATGTGTTTGACATTTCGTGCACACCATCAGAATAATTTCCCATTTCTTTCAGCAAGCTTTATGAAGAGAACGAATGAGCAATTGGGTGAGCCTTTTTCCCATTGGATTTTCATCGCTCTATGTGCCCCAGAAATGGATGCGTGGAGGATGGAAAGCATGACAAATCTTTGACCCATTTGGTGTTTTTCCCATTCCATGCATTTCATCGCTCTATACCTCTATGTGCACCAAAAAGGATGCATAGAGGATACAAAGTGTGACAAATCTTTGACCCGTTTGGCACTACTTCATTCTACTTTTTTTCAGTTTGGCTCTCATTTTTTTTTCTAAATAGGCACAACTTCACCAGCATGCTCGAGATTTAGGTGGAGTTTACGAAGCTCTAAAATGCTAAAAGGGTACTTCAAAAACTTCATATTTTTTATGGAGCTGCTTCACGGTAGAGTTCATAGCATAATCCCAAATAGATCCTAAAGTCTGAGTTTTAAACCTATAATTCCACATTGATATGTTGGCGGTAAAATATTTATGCAGCGTCTTGATTTCTTCTGTTCTGAAGACTTGCTGGAGATAGTGGTCAGAATATGCAGGTGAATACTCCACCAGGACGACCTTTGTACCTTGTTGTCCACTTGTCCCGGCGACCTAATTTGACCCATGGGTAAATTGGTAGCTAGAAGAAAAAGTGGGACGGGGGCGGGGGCGGGGGCGCGGGGCGAGATGCCTCTGTGGCCCTCCCAGCAGATGGGGCCGCCCGATTGATTGACCATTCGACCAACACTCCAAAAGTAAGGTCCATGGCCAATTTATGCGCCGGTTAATCATCAATCAATTAAAAAGAAAAATTGCGCCCTATTGCGACTCGGCAAAAAGCAGGGGAGAACATCAAGCGTTGCTTTAGGAGGTGTGCAGATTGCAACGAACCCCTAAGCAGAGTGGACCTTTTCCAGCCCAAACTTGATTATCTGAGAGTCCACCAAAAAAATGGCCAAAACTGCTTCAGCCCTATAACTCTTGCTTGGGCCAGGCCCATCACCCGTTCTTCGTGCCTTCCCTCCAACGCCCAAACCAGCCGCCGTCCACCATTACTTTCCCTTCGCGCCACTTGCCCGCCTGGCCGCCTCCATCACCTCCTGGCCGTAGGGATGGCAATGGGTTTCTACCCGATGGGTATTGCCTAACCACACCCATGCCCATTAGGATAAAATCATACCCATTAAGAAACCCATGCCCATGCACGGGTACAACTCTGTGCCCATACCCATGCCCATGCGGGTTTGGGTACCCATGGGTTGCCCATACCCAAAAACATATGTAATATTACCGATGCAAACATATGCAGCAAACCAGAAACACTAGACAATTAAACAATATAAAATATGTAGACATACCCAGCAAGCCAAGAACACAAGATAAATAAACAATAATCCACTTGTCGGTGTTTCGAACAAACACCGGCTAGTAAATTTATAATTGTTGCGCAAGGTTTATACTGGTTCGGGCAGAATATCCCTACGTTCAGTTTGCTGCTGCTCGTGTTATTAGTACCGAAAAAAGGTTCGTAGTAGGGGGTACAAACGGTCGAGAGAGGGACAGGTCCCAAGTCTCGATGGAAGGATTAAGAAAGGGCGCCAAGAGCTCGATTCTTTGCTTGGCTGTGTCTTGTCTGTAAAAAATGATCCGTCCCCTTAGTGGGGTGCTCTACCCTTCCTTTTTATAGACCAAGGGGGAGCAGGGGTTACAGACGGGAGAAAGAGGAAAAAACCAAAAGTAGAGAAGGTCCTTCGTGGGAGCCGGGTCTTCCTTTTTCCCTGTGCCTTCTCTGCTAACATGGCAGACTGTGTCAGGAATGGCGTGTTCGTTGATCCTTATAGGGCCGTGCCCTGGCCTCTTTTAGCAAGTGGGCGCATCCCATCCTACACCGACGGACAGTGCGGCGTGCGAGAGAGCCGAGCTGTGACCCTTCGGGGAGTAGACGGGGAAGTGAGCATACGTTCGTCACTGTGGATGATGTGAGCTTTGTCTTGGATCGTAGTGGTTGTCGTGTGCTCGTGTTAGTATCCGCGTCCGAGGCCTGATGGCGGCGCCTACAACACTGTGGGACAAAAGTCGGCGCCTACAACACTGTTCGGGCTCTGTCAGATCGGAAAGGGCCTAAAGCGCCTGTCCCATCGTATCCTGACAGTACCTTCCTGCAGGCATGCAGGGCATGGCCCTCGGTACTGCGGTTAACTCGAATGTATCGTCGTACCACATGCTCGCCGTCTTTATGAAGGAAGCGAGGTGTAGTCGTCGGGCGCGGCGGAGCCGTGCCCCTTAACCGTCGGGAGAGGCGGAGCCAGTCCTCAGGCGTCGGGCGAGGCGGAGCCTGCCCTCAGCCGTCGGCGTGAGGCGGAGCCCACCCTCGGACGTCGGGTGAGGCGGAGCCAGCCCTTAGACATTTGGGCGAGGTGGAGCCTGCCCTCAGCCATCGGACGAGGCGGAGTCTAGCCCTCGGGGGTCGGATGAGGCGGAGTCTAGCCCTCAGGGGTTGGGTGAGGTGGAACCAATCTTTCGTCGTTCAGGTAAGAAGCGTAGTAGCGTTCTTGTCTGACCGGAAGCGTCAACGTTCGATGATTATTAATTCCACCTCATTGGGTACCCCGATATTAGGTCTCTGACACCACTGCATAAGTGTTTTAAGTCTCATGATTAAATGACCAGATCTAATCACCAGCAGCACCACACATAGGCACATAGCACCAGGAACATCACTCATCTCATCCAGAGTTCCAGACTAACTAACTTGGCCACTCACAGAGTCACAATCCCACCGCCCACCACAACACTAAGAGTTCGAGCCATTAAGGCGGCCACACCACAAAGGTTATTACAAGTTCATTTCAAGTTCACAATTGATAAATAACAATCATAATTAGAAGCGAAGAAATCAATTGTTCTTGCACTTGACTTGTTTCATCCTTACAACTAAAAGTACAGCAACACTTGAACTTGGAGAGGAAATCTCAAATCACAAGTTCCTGCATGAAGTAAACACAACACATTAGTGAACTAACCAATATAAAAATAGGTCCAAGAGAAAGAAACATCACCTGAAGACCCTCTTTTATATCTTGAAGACAAGACCAAAAGGTAGCATGCTGTTTAGATTTCTCATCAACTACAAAATGGAGAAGGATTAGTTTGCAGCCATTCATAGACATTTGCTGAAATAAATTGCAGAACTAGTAAACCAAGCATTTATAATACCTTTATACTTGTTACTGAAAGGACCTAGGATGTCGCCTAGAGGGGGGTGAATAGGCGTTTCTAAAATTAACACATTTAAATGCGGAAATGATTAGTAAAGGGAGTTTCCAAAATAGAAACTCCAAATAAAGAGTAATACCACCCCTCACAAGTTAGACATAGAGTATACAAGGTATAAAGAATATATATAGAAGCTACAACACTGCAACACAAAGTTAGAACAGAGAACAAATATATTCTGCACAACCAGGAAATACTGGACGTGTCCAGATGCACGCAATTCTCTGAAAGCAGCCCCAAACTTGCTCATTTCGATTTCTATCTTCAAACCAAACTGTAGATATCTCTTGGAGATGATAATATATACAGAGAACTCAAGCACAAGAGCTAGAGCAACGAAATATCGAATGAAATGCGAATTGAGACACGATATTTATTTTATCGAAGTTCGGACTCGTTCAGAGTCTACTCTCTCCGTTGAGGGGGGCTGCAGGCGACCAAATGAAGGTCAGCCCTAGAGGGTACCACAAAGGTCACTCTAGCCAAGTCTTTTCAACTCCTTTTTCTCCTTCCACTAGTTGATTCCGAGGCGGCGGAATCGACCGTTACAAACTTTCAGAGGCACACCACAATCTCTCGGGTGCTCTCCGTCGACGCCTAACCGTCTAGGACCGAAGAGTCCAAAAGTAACAAATGTGAATCATGAGATTGATAATATGCACAAGTGCTCAAGTGGTTGGATTGCTCTCTTTTTGAATTTCACTCAACCCACAATTGGATTTGGTAATTTTGATCACACACTCACTAAGAAAGAGTTTGGGAGAGTTGGTAAGGCTCAAAAACATGTATGTGTATCAGCAGGATCAGCAGCCTCCAAAGGTAGAGGTTTCGGGGTATTTATAGCCCCCTTGGAAAAACTAGCCGTTTTATAGCCGTTGCCACATACCGGACATGTCCGATATGACTTATACTGCCCCAACGGTAACTAAGTTACAGTGATAATGTGAGACGTCGAAACTCTCGATGAATGCCGGAACTCCCGATTGTTGGAACTCCCGACTCACGTCGGAACTCCCGACCCTCAGCATATTTGAAAACTACGGTAACTGAGTTAAAGTATGTGAGGTGTCGGAACCCCTGACTCACGTCGGAACTTCCGACCCTCATGGCATTTGAAAACTAGCCGTTGGCCTCTGGCCGTCCATACTGGACACGTCCGATATGAATACCGGACACGTCCGGTATGACCACCACAGTGAACTCTCCAAGTCAGTTAAGCGCGAGACGTCGGAACTCCTGACCATTGCCGAAACTCCCGACCGTCGGAACTCCCGACGAACCAACCCAAGATCAACAATATTACCATTGCTGGGCAAAATACTGGACACATCTGGTATCGTATTGTTAGACCAGCAAAAACAGGTTAGCTCTTTTATCTCTTAAACACTCAAAACTCACATGGGTTGGCTTGAGCACTTATGAAACATTATC